TGTTACTAATTTTGTCTTTGGTTAGTTCAAAACAGGAGCAAGATTTTTGGTACTTACAAAAAATGATAGTATGTAAAACTGTAGAGACACTTAGTCTAATGTTCTAAAAGTATGTCATTAAAAATTGTATGTAATGTTGGGCATAGTGAGGCACATCTGTAATCCAAGTTACTTTGGAGGCAGAAACAGGAGGATCAAAGTTCAAGGCCAGACAGAGCAAAAGTCAGGGACACTCTATCTCAAGAACAAACCCTGCGTAAGGTGGCTCATTCCTGCAAATTCAGCTACTCAGGAGTTGGAGGGAAAGGGAATGATGTATGTGATCCAAGCAAAGTTAGCAAAAGACCCTATTTGAAAAGCAAACTAAAAGCAAAAGAAATGGGGTATGTGGCACAAGTGGCAAAGAACCTGCTTAGTAAGCAGAAGGCTGAAACACAACCAGGAAGTTCATACACACATATACCAAACAGACAAAAGGGCAACAGATTAAGGATTAAACATTATATCTGCCTTTTTTTCTTTTTTCTTTCTTTTTTTTTTATATTTCCCATACTTTTACTCTATACTTTTTTTTTTTGGTTGGTTGTGGGGCTTGAACTCTGGACTTAGGCTGTCCCTGTGCTTGAGCCACAGCGCCACTTCCCTTTTTTCTTTTTTTTTTGCCTGTCCTGGGCCTTGAACTCTGGGTCTGGGCAGTGTCCCTGAGCTCTTTTGGCTCAAGGCTAGCATTTGACCACTCGAGCCACAGCATTGCTACAGGCTTTTTCAGTGATTAATTGGAGATAAGAGTCTCACAGACTTTCCTACTGGAGCTGGCTTTGAACCACTATCCTCAGATCTTAGCAATCTAAGTAGCTAAGATAACAGGCGTGAGCCATCAACACCTGGCTATACAGTTGCCTTTTTTTTTTGTCATGAGGCTTGAACTCTGAACTCTGGGCCCAGGCCCTGTCCCTCAGCTCTTCAGCTCAAGGCTAGCGCTCTACCACTTGAGCCACAGAGCCACTTCCAGCTTTTTCTGTTTATGTGATGCTAAAGAATCGAACCCAGGGCCCCATGCATGTGGGGTAAGCACACTACCACTGAGCCACCTTCCCAGCCCCTATAGTTGCTTTTTTAACTGAGCATTTCTGGTATGTAAAATACTGTTAGAAGCACTGTATGTTCTTCGCCAGAGGCGCTCACAACATAGTGAAGAGACAAGAGATATACCTACACTGCAGGGAGGTTAAGTATATCAAGTACAAAGCTTTAAAAATAGAGGGAAAGGTGACCCTGACCTCAAATAGATGACTTAGTCTTTTCTAATTCATGGACATCTGTCTGCAGATGGCAGGTTTTAGTTGGGAGAAATATGAGATACTCTAGAAACAGAGATGAACAAAGCTTTGGAGAAGTGGAGGTTGGGGGTGAGGAGGGAATTGATTACTGAGCCTGGGAGCCAGAGCTGATGTAGCTGGGGCCCACGCTGGGACCTCACCAAGCTCCCTCTGCTCAACCAGGCTTGTGGTTCTTTATTTCACTTTAAAAGACTCTGCCTTGTTTATCTGATTTGAACATCTACCACCTCACTTACTGAGAGCCTTGGGCTAACTCATCACTATGGATTACTTGTTCTCTGACTTGCCTACTGAGCCAACCACAATTTATGGCTGAGGAGACAGAGTCCTTAAGGATTTATTAATTTACCAGAAGTGATGTTGACGACCATTAATATACTGTCCTTACAAATAGTCACATTCAAGCTCAATGAACTTGGACACACAAAGCTGGTCCTAACCAATGAGACATTTTCTTTTCTACATGGCAAGGGAAGATATTACTTTTTGTGAAGACATTACTTATATAGCTTTCAAAAATGTTAGTCTTCTGTCAAAAGAGACTCGATAATTTTTAGTTTCCTACAACTAAATCATCTACAATTTCAACAGCTTTCCCATTTTATATTTACAGTTTGGTACACAATGGAAGAAGTGGTTGGGTCTAAACAAATAGCCTAAACAAAGAGACTACATCTCTGCATTTGTCCTTTCAGAAATTAATTAAGGTAAATATTCAAATAAGTGTACCAGATTTTTACCAAAATTCAAAATTTGGAATTTTTTTAAATCCAAACCAGGAAAATGAACATCTAAAGAACTTGAAAGTGACAACCAAACCAGCAAACGACAACAAACAAAAATCCCACCTCTTACACAAATGCTAACAAATACAGTGCTGAGGATAAAATGCGGAAGGCACTTTTCTAACCAGTATGTATATGGTACCATATTTAATTATTGACAACAAAATTAGCCATTTTCTGAAGTAGGTTAGTTATCCATCCCATTTTAATGGAGGAAACCAGGATACCGAGAAGCTAAGTAACTTGCCCAAGGCCACACACACAGCTGTGAGGATCACAATCAGAATTAGCAGTCTGGCAACAGACTCCATGTTCTGAGTGTCTTTATGTAATGCGCTTATGAAACTACACTGCAAAAGTGACAGGTTTACAAGCAAAGCAACGAAGAGTTCCGATACTTTTAAATAAATGTTGCCAGGATCAGAGCCTCGCTACTTTGGTATGTGCTGAAAGTCCCCAAACCTGCCTCTGGAGCTTTGTGTCCTGCCTCTGCTTTGTGTCCAGCTGCTGTAAGTTTTCCTTTCATAGGTAGCTGCTGCGAAGCAGAATGATTTGTTAAGATCATAACTTTTAAGAATGAAACGTAGACAAAGCATCTGCTCATAAGGGATACAAATACATCCCTCAGCCTTAGTACAAAAAAATTAACGTTAAAAAGTCAGGTACAGTAATTGTACAGTAATTGTAATCCTAGCTACTTGGGAGGCAGAGATTGGGAGATCTCACATTAAGAGTACCTCAGGCTTAAAAAAAAAATTCATGAGACTCCATTTTAACCAATGGCTAGGCACCACATCACATACCTGTCACCTCAGCAATGTAGGAAAGTTACAAATAGGAGGACTACAGTCCTAGATGGTCCAGGCATAAAACAATCCTATCTAGAAAATACCCAACCCAAAAGGAGTTGACAGAGTGGCTAGATTGATACAGGGTGATTATCTAAAAAGTGCAAAGCCAAGTCCAAAAGCCATACTGGAGGAAAAATCATTAAAATGAGGAAGAGCCATTTGGGGATATAACATTTAAATGGTGACACTAGCGTGTATAACCTATTTTAAAAGTCTGTACTTGGCTGGATGCTGGCGGCTCATGCCTGTAATCCTAGCTACTCAGGAGGCTGAGATCTGAGGATCACAGTTCAAAGCCAGCCCAGGCAGGAAAGTCCATGAGGGCTCTTATCTCCAACTAACAGGCAGTAGAGTGCTCGCCTTGAGCACCCAGGCCCAGAGTTCAAGCCCCACGAATGACGAAAAAAAAAAAATCTGCACTAGCATGTGGGAGGCCTTGGGTTTGATCCTCAGTACCAAAAGCAAAAAACAAAACAAAACAGAAAAAAAACAGGGCTGGGAAGTTGGCTCAGTGGTAGAGTGCTTGCCTCACATGCATGAGGCCCTGGGTTTGATTCCTCAGTACCATATAAACGGGAAAAACCAGAAGTGATGCTGTGGCTCAAATGGTAAAGCGCTAGCCTTGAGCTGAAGAGCTGAGGGACAGCGCCCAGGCCCAGAGTCCAAGCCCCATGACTAACCAAAAACAAAACAAAACAGAACCCCCCCCCCCAATTTCTGTGGATGTCACTTCTGTGGTAAAGTTAAAAGCTCTATTACTAGTTCTCTCAAGGACTTTGTGGCAATAAACAAATTCTCCACTTATTAAGAGAAGTTGAGACAATAGCATCATAAGATAGGTAAAGTAGGTATTGTTATTTTATCCAAATCTTAAAGAAATTACAAGACTTATCAGAAAGAAACTTAAATCAAAGCTTTTTTCCAATAGTAGGTTGTAATGTAATACATTAACCACCAATTCTTGATAAATAATTATAAAGTCAGTTCCGACCGACCTCAAGATGGATGTGAACAGTTTTTCTAGTAATAGATTTGCAACCACCTACTGGCAGTGCCTCTCTCTGTGAGCACTGACATGCACATGTGAGCGAGAGTGAGGGAGGGTAATTTGCTGTCACTGGGCAAAGCAGAGATAATACCCAACCAAGTCCCTGCACAAAGGGGGTGGATGCCATGGTCCTGATCTCAGCAGACACAGGTTTCCAACCCTCCTGGTTGCAATGCAAGTAGCTTTTATGGGAATACCAAAACCACTTAGGAAAAGAACAAAGTGATTCACAGACCTCTGTGAAGCAAGAATGAAAACAAGCCAGGTTCTAAGTTGGGCACCTGTGGCTCACGCCTGTAATCCTAGCTACTCAGGAGGCTGAGATCTGAGGATTGCGGTTCAAAGCCAGCCCGGCAGGAAAGTCCCTGAGACTCTTATCTCCAATAAACCACTAGAAAAACCAGAAGTGGCACAGTGACTCAAGAGGTGAGCGCTCGCCTTGAGCTGAAGAGCACAGGGACAGTGCCCAGGTCCAGAGTTCAAGCCCCATGACTGACCAAAAAACAAAAAACCAAGTCAGGTTCTGAATGAATGCTTTCCTTGTTTTAAAGAAAGTCTTAAAGAAAGGCCAATTTTGACCCATTTAAATCTGAAATGAGTGCCCATTCAAGTAACATTGGAATGTTGGAGAAAATGTATGTATTTTCGAATCCTTAGGACTGTTACTATAAATGTAATGTCAGCCTCAGTATTTATTTGAAAAAGTGTCATGCAATTTACTTTTATGAGGATTTGAGAAACACGTGTTGAAATGTTTTCCCCATGTCCCCTTCCCCTCCACTGTGTGCTATCTCCACTTAGCAAGCTTTTGGCACTAGATTCTATTTATAGACTGCAGCCCAAAGTGAGGGGACCCTGAATAAGAGGGTAGTAGTGAAAAAGTCAGACTTACAGGAAGTTTTTTTGGTATATTACTATATTATACATATAGACTCCTTCCAGCCCAACTCATGAATTATGACGTGCAAGCACATACCTGATAGTTGCTACCTTTCCAGAACTTTTTCATTTCCTTACGTCTCCAAGCAACAATGGAGGCAGTAATAAGTGTGCAAGGTACCAAGTAGAGGAGGGCAGGCTGCCCCTTGTTCATCAGCACCAGAACAACAAACGTAAGTATCATGCCAATGGCATAGGCTGCAGGAAGAGCACCAGGTGTCAGTCACTGCGGCATGCTGCAGAGTGGATCTGCCCTCCCCCATCACCTATTGGTTTCAAGTGTTTCCCATAACCCTTTTGCCATAAGAATTCATGTCATAATTTCATTACTTTTCTAGACAGTAAATAGAACTATATTCTATGAACTTCTGAAAAATTTGGAAACTTTCAACCTAATAATTACCTAAGAGATAATTTTAAAAATATAATTCTATCAAACCAGGTGGTGGTGGCTCATGCCTGTAATCCTAGCTACTCAGGAGACTGAATTCTGAGGATCTCAGTTCAAAGCCAGCCCAGGCAGGAAAGTCTGTAAGACTCTTATCTCCAATTAATCACCAGAAAACCAGAACTGGTGCTGTAGCTCAAAGTAGGAGAGTGTTAGCCTTGAGCATAGGAGCTCAGGGACAGTGCCCAGGCCTAGAGTTCAAGTCTCACAATCTATCTATCTATCTATCTATTAGAAATATATATATAGAAACAATAATAGAAATATATATTTCTATTATTATTAGTACAGAGGGGCTACCATTTCATAAGTCGGGTAATGAGTACATTTTTGGGGTGGGTGGTTTGAACTTGGGCTTGGATACTGTCCCTGAGTTCATTTTGCTCAAAGCTAGTGCTCTACCACTTTAAGCCACAGTGCTACTTCTGGTTTCCTGGTGGTTAACTGGAGATAAGAGTCTCACAGACTTTCCTTCCCAGCTTGGCTTTGAACCACAATCCTCAAATCTCAGCCTCCTGAGTAGCTAGGATTACGGGCGTGAGCCACCAGTGCCTGGTAATGAGTATATTTCCTTTTTGGATAATGTCACCCCTTCTTTTGCTTTTTCCCCCTCCTGTTCCTGCCCACAAGTAATTTTTTTTAAGTTATCAATTACCTGTTACTATTAGGGATATTAAAGTGTTCCACCAAGGTTGAGAACTTTATGCCTAGGATCCCCTGCTCTTTGCCTCCTATGTAACTAGGATTACAGGCTTTATCTACTGTGTCTGGTCCTAATATACATTTCTGATGTGAGGAGTTAACTCCATTGGGGACTTGCTAGAATATATAAAAAGTGGCTTCCCATGCAGGCATTTATCTATACATACAGAGCTTTAGTGTACAAATTTTCAGGTATTCACTTGAGATGTACAGAATTAGTAGAGTATTTTTTGATTACTTTCTGTTATTAACTCTGTCTCTCAGGGCTGGGAAGGTGGCTCAGTGGTAGAGCGCTTGCCTTGCATGCCTGAGGCCCTGGGTTCGATTCCTCAGCACCACATAAGCAAAAAGAAAAAAGCCGGAAGTGGCGCTGTGGCTCAAGTGGTAGAGTGCTAGCCTTGAGCTGAAGAGCTGAGGGACAGCGCCCAGGCCCAGAGTTCAAGCCCCCCGCCGGCCCCCCCCCCAAAAAAAAAAAAAAAAAACTCTGTCTCTGTCTCTGTCTCTCTCTCGCTTTTTTTTTTTGGTCAGCCCTAGGGCTTGAACTCTGGGCTTGGGCGCTGTCCCTGCGCTCTTCAGCCCAAGGCGAGCATTCTACTGCTTGAGTCACAGCGCCACTTCCGGTTTTCTTGTGGTTTATTGGAGATAAGAGTCTCATGAACTTTCCTGCCCGGGCTGGCTTTGAACCGTGATCCTCAGATCTCAGCCTCCTGAGTAGCAAGGATTACAAGCATGAGCCACCGGCACCTGGCTCAATTTCTCTCTTCCTAGGTAAGATGTTATTGTGCCATAAATTCATTTATATAAAAACAAAGCTATTGTAAAAAATCAAGTAAGATACCATTTACTGACTACTTACATGCCAAATGATTTAACACACATCATATGGAGAACTTAATCTTTTATTTCACACTTAGTTTCTTTTTTTTTTTTTAATGCTGTTCCTAAGCTTGAACTCAGGGCCTGGGAGATTTAAGACTGACATATTATCACTTGAGCTACAGCTCCATTTCAAGCTTGTGCTCGCACTTGCGCGCGCTCTCTCTCTCTCTCTCTCTCTCAGTTAATTGGAGAGAAAAGTTTCATAGACTTTCCTGCCTAGGCTGGCTTCAAACCATGATCTTTAGATCTCAGCCTCCTGAGCAGTTAGGGTTATGGGCATGAGCCACTGGAATTCAGCTCCCTAATTTCCCTTTTAAACCTCTAAAAGATTGTTAAATTATTCCCTTCTGATGTAAAAATGTGAAATTAATTTATGATGAATAATTACAATCCAAGACCCTTTAAGACCTCATCACTTCCTTTAGACAACACATTCAAACTAACAAAAAAAAACACAAAAGTTTACCAACTATGGATGAAATATAGTATACAGAAGAACCAGTCTGAACATCAAATCTTCTGCAGTATGCAACCAACAGACCTTAAAAGAAAAGCAACTTCACATTATTTTCTTAAAACAGCAGCAACACAAATTAAACTGTTCACTATATTAGAGTATATGTTACATTGTAACTTTTTAAAATTATGAGATCATAAAAAATACTTAAAGTTGGGCACTGGTGGCTCACGCCTGTAATCCTAGCTACTCAGGAGGCTGAGTTCTGAAGATCAAGGTTCAAAGCCAGCTGAGGCAGGAAAGTCTGTGAGACTCTTCTCTCCAATAAATTAACAACAAAGTCAGATGTGCAACTGTGGCTCAAGTGGTAGAATGCTAGCCTTGAGCAGAAGCATCTGCTTGGGGACAGCACTCAGGTCCTGAGTTCAAGCCCCAGGCCCAGCACCAACAAAAACAAAACAACAAAAAAAACTCTGACAAGTTTTACATGCTAACTTTAATATTATCATACTGTATTTTTAAATATTCCCCCCAAACTATTAAATAGTGTTTAAGTTTTTTAAATATCACATTTAAAAGATATTGAGTCAAGGGGAAGGTGGCTCAGTGGTAAAGTGCTTGCCTTGCATGCATGAGGCCCTGGGTTCGATTCCTCAGCATCACATAAGCAAAAAGAAAAAAGCCAGAAGTGGTGCTGTGGCTCAAGTGGTAAAGCACTAGCCTTGAGCTGAAGAGCTGAGAGACAGCGCCCAGGCCCAGAGTTCAGGCTCCATGACCAGACCCCCCCCCAAAAAAAAAACATATTGAGTCAAATATACACATATATACACATATGTATATATGTATACACACACACACACACACACATATGGGACTCACACCTGTAACCTCAGCTACTCTAAAGCTGGGAATCAGGAGAATCATGGTTGGGGGCTAGCCTGGCCAAAAGTGAGACCCCCCCCCATCTCAACAAATAAGCAAAGCATAATGATATATACCTGTCATTCCAGCTATGTAGGAGACCATAGGGGAAACATGGTCCCAGGCCAGCCTGGGCAAAAACATGGGAGCTATCTGAAAACTAAAATAAAAAGGGCAGGAGGTATGACTTGCCTATTAAGCATGAGGCCCTAAGTACCACAAAGAAAATAATAACCAACCCTGTCTAAACAAATAAGACAGGGATGGTACCTGGGCCCTGAGTTCAGGCCCCAGTATTAGCACACAAAAAAATAAATGAACAATTTACTATATTTACAAGTTGTTTGAATTAATTCTGGTCTGTATATAATAAAGTAAGTTCTGTTATTTTTTACATTTTTTGATGTTTACATTTCCGTTTTAAAAAAATGTACCCTTTCCCTACAATCAAAATTTAGCTCTTAGAAGTGGAGGATGTAGGTCAAATGGTAGAACACTAGACTTGGAGTGAAAAAGCCAAGGCAGTGCTCAAGGTCCCAAGTTCAAGCCCCAGTACTTGTGCATGTGCACACATGCACACACACAGTACTGACAAAGTTAGCTCTTAGTGTCTCATGTATAGTCAATAACTCAGTGAAACATATTTAAGACCTTTGACCAGCTCTATACCAAGGATTATGTACAAGGTCTTAAGGAACATTCAACATGACACTGGTAAAATCAAGGACAAATTTGACGAAGCACAAGGATCACTAAGGTACTTGGCAGAATTCTTTTGCTGCCTTACAAGTAACTTGGAGATTCACTGAACTAAGAGTGCTGCTATAGTGGACTTTGTCATGCCAACTCACAAGAGAACACTGTTCACTCTCTCTTTAGGTAAATATAGAAAGGCTTTCACAGAAAAGCCAGGATTCCTCATCATCAACAGGCAGTCAGTGATAGGGAGCCAACAGGACAAGTGCTCAGTTGACAAAAAAATCTTATTAACTACTCTGTGTGTGTGTGTGTGTGTGTGTGTGTGTGTGTGTGTGTGTGTGAGAGAGAGAGAGAGAGAGAGAGAGAGAGAGAAAGAGAGAGAGAGATTTTGAGATAAGGTCTCACTAGTTGCCTCTAGCCAGCCTCAAACTCTTGATCATGCTGCCTCAGCTTCCCAAGTGCTAAGATTACAGCTGTGCGCCACGATGCCCAGCTAATTACTTTAAAAAATTTTATTATTTCTTATGAACATAACCTCAAGATTTTCTTGCCTTCATAATAAAAGATGAAACTTAGAACTGGATTACTTGGTCTTTTCTCTTGCTATTTTCCCCCACTTCAAAATGCCAGCATTCACTTTACTAAGCACAGTTTTCTTGGTAGTTTCAGCTTTTTTTCCAGAAAGTCAGCTTAATGTGCCACCACAGCCAATCTGCTTCCAGCCCCTGGGCATACAGAGTTCTTGCCCTTATTGTCCTTCATGGGGTTAATGTTGGCCACTGTTCTTATGCAAAGTCTGAGTTGTTTTTACCATTGGTGATTATGTCTGTGGAGTGGCTATGGGCACAGAAAGCTAAACAACATTGTTACTTGTCTGGGGGCTGGGAAGGTGGCTCAGTGGTAGAGCGCTTGCCTTGCATGCCTGAGGCCCTGGGTTCGATTCCTCAGCACCACATAAGCAAACAGAAAAGGAAGTGGCTCTGTGGCTCAAGTGGTAGAGTGCTAGCCTTAAGCTGAAGAGCTGAAGGACAGCGCCCAGGCCCAGAATTCAGGCCCCATGACCGGACCCAAAAAACAAAAACAAAACAACATTGTTACTTGTCTGGGATTAAGTTTGCTCAATAGGTCACCCAGTGAGGAAAATAAGCCAGATCTGAAGGAACTACCAGGAGAAAGTGGTCCTACAGACTGACTCGGTATTATAGAGCCATCCAAGCTTCTGCACAGTTTCTCCTCTTGAACTCGACCTTGCTAACATCCCTAAAACACTTCCTAAAATAAATACCACCATAAAACTGATTAGACACCATGTTCTTGGCATTATTATCTTCAACTTCAAAAGAGTGACAAAAATATACTTCCCTGGAGAAGAAGACTAAACTGATTCTACCTGTTTCCTTTTAGACACCTTTTGATCCATCATCGATTTTGCTTGGGTTGTTGCCTATTGGGCCTTATCCTGTACTCCTTAAAATGGTTTTCACTTTTTTCTATCTTTGTCACTGATCAGCTCTAATGACATCCAAAAATACACAATATAGAGTAGGCAACTTTTCACAAACATGGTACATTTTAAACCATCAGAATAGTTTTACCAAACTTGTGAAAGCCACTTACCAGGTACAATAATGTCTCCAAAACCCAATAATGAAACAGGCAAGAGGCACACATTCATTACTGAGAAATAGATCAGCTTTGGTACCCTGATAACTACTGGTAACTGTAAAATAAGAAGGGGGGAGAGGAAAAGGTCACCAATAAAACTCTTTTCAAGTTTCTTTTAGAAAGGAAAGAACTAACAGAATAATGGTGAGAAAATTTTAAACAGACATTTAACAAAAAAATCAATCTTGAAATCAGAGATCATAGACTAGACAATACACGAACACACTACATATATAGCAAGATTGACAGAAATAGATATGTCATTTTTGTAAAATGAAACCCTTGTAGGAGTAATAGTATTAATTCATCTACTATCCCCATATCTAACCTTTTAGGTTTTGTTGTTTTTTTTTTTTTTACTTTTTACCAACAATAGGACTCAGACCTTGAATTTTTTATTTTTGTTGGTCATGGGGCTTGAACTCTGGGCCTGGGCGCTGTCCCTCAGCTCTTCAGCTCAAGGGGAGCACTCTACCACTTGAGCTACAGCACCACTTCCGATTTTCTGGTGGTTTATTGGCTGCCTGGGCTGGCTTTGAACTGTGATCCTTAGATCTCAGCCTCCTGAGTAGCTAGGATTACAGGCGTGAACCACCAGCGCCCGGCAATATTTTTTTAAAATCAAGATTGTTTTCCCCAAAGAAGAATCTTGCCTCAGAGGGTATGTTTTAAAGTCCAATGAATATATCTGAAATACAATCCTTACTTTCTCATGGGGAGCTGAGGGCTGAGCAGTGGCTTCCACAAAGTTTCCATCATTCTAGGATGAAACCCAAGTCAATAGGTATTTAATAATTTAGAATAACTATGAAAAGGGCTATATTTTTGAGAAATAAGTTGTACAATACCTTAACATGCACTACATGACCAATGGATTACATAAGAAGGCAACATTATGAACTGGATACACTACATACACTGGGCAGCCATTTCTGTCTTACTGCCATCCCTACCTTTTCTGTGTTTCCAAAAGGTCCAGCTGCAAGTTCAACCATAATACTCTCACCATTCTAAAATTGAGGAGGAAGAAGAAAGGCGTTATATAGTCATCTGACTAGAACAGTCTGCCACTATTTAGAATGATATAAAGCCCATTACATCTTATTTTCATCCTCATTTTCTGTAGATGGCAAAAATCGAAACTGTCTAAAACCTAACACATGGTTTCACTTTAGCAGAGCTCAGAAATCATCAGAAACTGACAAATCACAGATCACTAAATGCACTAAATGCATAGATCACTAAAGTGTACCTTGAGCTTTGTATTATACTGACATAGTAAATCTAACATTTATAATGGATTATATGTTTCAAATACTTTCAAATATTTATTATGCAGTATTATGGTTCCTAGTCATTTTAAACAATGTCAGAGAAGAAGGATATACTAAAATCTTTTAAATTTAGCTTTGTAACTTTATTTGAATAAATATACATAGGGCCTCACTACAATAATAGAACAATGAAAGCAGATATGAGAAGACTCAACTCTATACAGAATCAGTGATGTATTCCTTGTCTGACTCCTGCCCAACTTCAGCCCAGCCATTCTATGTTCCAAACAAAACATTGACCTTTCTGCAATTCCCTCTGAGTCTGATGAAGTCTTTTGTGGGTCATGTAAGGAATTTATTAAAATGTTATCTCCTGCAAGTCCAATCTATTGTAGCAGGAGAAGGAGGTAACATTTTGAAGTAGCACCCTAAGAGTGCCTGAGCACCCATTTTAGGTTTCACAGAACAAATCTAAGAGGGAAACAGTGAAAGAAGATACATGCTCAGTTTTGAGAAATATGTCTGACTATAATATTTTCCATGGGAAAGTTACACAAGAGAAAGCACTTGATTATTTTTAAAGCCATCTCACTGATATCTAAGCTGAGTAAAAAGATAAAATCCCTGCCTGAAAAAATCTCTTCCTCATGCTCAGCTTTTGGTTACAGAGGGGTTAAATCACAGCAGTTTAGTAAGATAACTATTTATTAATAGGAAGAAAATTCTCAGGTTGTGAACCCATTTCCATAAAATTAATTTGGCTAATTGTCTGGTTGTTATTTAAAATATTTAGTGAAGATCTTCAGTGACTCCCTCCCATATATTTAAAGACAGCTGAGTACCAACTACATTTTGTTTTTTATTTTGTGTGAGTCCTGGGGCTTAAACTCAGGGCCCAGACACTGTTCCTTTGTGTTTTAGCTCAAGATTGATGTTCTACATCTTGAGCCACACTCTACCTCTGGCTTTTTGATGGTTAATTGGAGGTAAGAGTCTCATGGACTTTTCTGTTTTGGCTGGCTTTGAACTGAAATCCTCAGACCTCAGTCTCCTGAGTACCTAGGATTAAGATGTGAGCCACTAGCATTTGACATAACTTTTTTTCTTCTTGAGGCCAGAATCAGTGTAGTTATGTTTTCCTTAAAATCATGATTTTTCCTATCTCGGTCTCCTAAATCTGGGGTCACATGCTCAACTAAGAAAAATTACTTTTAAAAGAAGAAAAAATGTAGACATTCCGATTTTTACATCAGTCAGAAGACTTTATTTTTTTGGGGGGAGGGTTGGAAATGGGAATGTACCAACTATTAAAGGATCAGTGTCAATGACAATTCTACTAATGGAATTCACTGAATAGTAAATGTCTACAAAACCAACAATCTGGGGCTGGGAAGTTGGCTCAGTGGTAGAGTGCTTGCCTTGCATGCCTGAGGCCCTGGGTTCGATTCCTCAGAACCACATAAGCAAAAAGAAAAAAGCCAGAAGTGGTGCTGTGGCTCAAGTGGTAGAGCGCTAGCCTTGAGCTGAAGAGCTGAGGGACAGTGTCCAGGCCCAGAGTTCAGGCCTCATGACAGACAAAAAAAAAAAAAAAGGGATAAAATAGAGCTTTGTGAAGTGATGAGAAATGTTCAGGACTTCATTGGCATGGTGGTAACAGATGTTACCCATTTGAAAAATTTCAAGAAACAGTACATTTAACGTGGTGTTTTTTTGTGTTTTACATAAATATGAAGAGGCACATAGGAATTGAGCCTTTGTGCATTTTAAAAGTGGATGCACGGGCAGGGAATGTGGCTTAGTGGTAAAGTGCTTGCCTAGCATGCATGAAACACTGGGTTCGCTTCCTCAGTACCATATAAAACAGAAAAAGCCCAAAGTGGTACTGTAGCTCAAGTGGTAGAGTGCTAGCCTGAGCAAAAATAAACTCAGGGATAGGTGCCCAGGCTCTGAGTACAAGACCCAGAAGTGGCAAAAAAAGAAAAAGTTGATGCAAATTATGTATTTTTTAGTTAGCAAAACAATATACTTTACCTTGAAGTTGGGTAACTTCAGTGTTTTAATTAAATTGAGGCAGAAAGCAATGCCCAAGATATCCTGTAATATCCAAGCCCACCTAAAATAAAAAAGATATTACCCTATAGCTTTATTCATATATTTTAGATGAATCTTTAAAAATCAAACTTTTCTAAAAAATTAGATCACTATAGTAATGTCATTAAATTGCTGTGACTTGATTGTTCAATTATTAAACATGTATCATATATAAGATGATGTTTGCCTTAGTCTTTGGGCTTATATACATCTCTTTCCAGAAAGTTAGCTGTTCACAAGGGTCACTACTGTTGATATATATCCAGACACCTTGAATATAAGTGACAGCTCTTGCAACTTACTCTACTAGAAACTGTCATACGTAACTACTAATTGATATACATGAAACTGTGAAGCTGTATGAACTTTATTTACCAAATTTTAGACTATTAAGTCTTACAGGTCATCCAAAACTTTATTGATATGCCATTAAATAAGCCTAAGTATATATTTTTTAGGTTATCTTTCCTGCAAAGGGTAGATCCCTTCTATATCTTCTCTCTGCGAATGGACAGATACTTTGCACACCCCCTTCACTCTAACAGAAAGGGCAGCCTAATCTACATATGCTTTCACATTTTCCTTTTTCACTTAATACATATCCTGGTTGAGGCTAGAGATGGGAGGGGGAATAATGAGTGAGAACAATAGAAGGGGTGACACTGATCAAGTGGCATTGTATTTATAACTTGACTTATGGAACTGTAACCTCTTTGTACAACTACTTAATAACAAAAATTTTAAAATAGCATATCCTGGAAATCACTGCCTTATTAGTTCAAAAAGATCTTTATATTTTTTAGGGTTAGACTGAATTCCACTGTAGTATGTCATAATTAAGCATATTCTTAAAATCTAGGTGCTTAACTCATAACTCATATTTCCTTCTCTGTATAAGCTCAAATCATTAGCATAAGATCTGCTCATTTAAAAAGTAGCTTCTTTCAACATGTGTTCTTAAACACAAAACAATTCCATAGCGAGTGTAATGAATGAGATTAAGGCAAGATATAAAACAATCTATCCTTCAATATAACACTGAATATATCAAGTATTCATACCTATCCTCATTTCTAAACACAGCCCAAACAACAGCTACAGCTATGCATAGTCCAGAGAGAAAAATAAGTCTCACTTCAATGCTTTTGCCACGACACGTAATCCTAAAGAAAAGAATGAAATTGTTTAGTTTATGTTATAAAGTACAGTGTTTCTCTGATATAAAAAGTGACAACATAAACCAGTCACAAGGTGGGGGGGGGGGTAGGGGAGGACTGGTGGCTCATTCCTGTAATCCTAACTATTCAGGAGGCTGAGATCTGAGGTTACGGTTCAAAGCCAGCCTAGGCAGGAAAGTCCATGAGACTCTTATCTCCAATGAACCACCAGAAAATTGGAAGTGGTGCTGTAGCTCCAGAGGTAAAGTGCTTGCTTTGAGCTGAACAAATCAGGAACAACACCCAGGCCCTGAGTTCAAACCTCATGCTGATTAAAAACAAAACAACAAAATAGTCACAGAAGTGACTGAAATATCAATTTAGCAGTCACAACTGTAAGTAAAATAACTAACACATGATGATCAGTCCAACTTTTTTTTTTTTTTTTGTCGGTTGTGGGCTTGAACTCTGGGCTTGGGTGCTGTCTTTGTACTCTTCAGCTCAAGGTGAGTGCTCTACCACTTGAGACACAGCATCACTTCTGGTTTTCTAGTGGTTTATTGGAGATAAGAGTCTCACGAACTTTCCTGCCCAGGCTGGCTTTGAACCATGATCCTCAGATATCAGACTCCTGAGTTGCTAGGATTACAGGCGTGAGCCACCAGTGCCTGGCCAGTCCAACTTTTTATGATGATGAAATGTTCTAGATTTGTGCTGTCCAGTACAGTTGGCATGAACCACACATGAGTACTCAATACTTAAAGTGTGTCTGAGAGTGAAAGCTTAAAAATTTCATTTAACTTGAATTATTTTACATTTAAACTAGTAAGTCTAATGCATACTGGACTTCACAGGTTAAAAAAAAACACTTTTCCTTTTCCTTATATTAAATGATCAATTATATAGCATTTCCTAGGAGATACATACGTGCATTGTCCACATGGTATCTTATGAATTAGTGCAGCAAGACAGTTGTACAGACTCATTGCTGATGCTATGCAGAATATTGCTATTATAACATAAACTAGAAAAAAAAACATCAAATTATGTAACACCAGAAAATGTGATAAAAATATTTATATAAGCAATATTATTTCTTTGGCTTTCTTTATTAGACCATGATACATTTATTTAATGCATTCATTATCTGAATTAGTTACTAAGCTAAAATTATTTAGATTCTGAATTTTAGAAGTAGGCATTTTAGGTGTTATTTTATTTCCAATATATATTGGTAGGATTGCTTAAAGGCTGAAGAGTCTCTATATTTCCTATTATTTAGTAATTCAAATGACATGTTTTTTAATGATAAAATAATATTAATTATATATTTATGAATATTTAATTTAACTATAAGGAATAAAGTACTAACAAATCTTTTTTTTTTTTTTTGTGGGTCGTGGGGCTTGAACTCTGGGCCTGGGCGCTGTCCCTCAGCTCTTCAGCTCAAGGCGAGCGCTCTACCACTTGAGCTACAGCGCCACTTCCGGTTTTCTGGTGGTTTATTGGAGATAGGAGTCTCACAGTCTTTGCTGCCCGGGCTGGCTTTGAACCGCGATCCTCAGATCTCAGCCTCCTGATGAGCCACCAGCACCTGGCTAGTACTAACAAATCTTAAAAAAACATTTTTAGAAATTCACCTTAGAATGAAAATTAATATCTGCTTTAAGACATTAACCATGTTATCTGTATTCTGCTATAAAGACTGTGTTTGTAATAACTTGACCTGTGGTAAAGCTAAACCCATTTAAACAAACCTCTTTGTTATGATATGACCTTAAGATCATTAAAACTGACAGGTATTTTTCTATATTATCCAATTTATCTCAGAGTTATTTAAAATCCAAGCTATGTGACCTCTTTGTTGTTACAAAGGGGGATTACTATACTTTAAAGTCTTTCTTTTCTGAACTCCCTTTAAAAATTTCACAATTGAAATACAAGTTGTACCTGAATCTTTCAAATTCTACTTAATTTTAGGCAACTTAAAACAGATACTTAGAAGAGTAGGCAGTACATACAGGCTTTCTATGTGTTACTCATTATTTTTGTCAATAGTTATGTATGGTAATGTGAGCAGATAGTCATAGACTGTCATTGATTTTTGTAAGTTACCTACCAAAGTTGCCCTACAGGCTTCTTGAAGCCCTCCTAGAGTTTTAGTGTCACATTCAATATCAGATCATATCTATTTAGTTAATGTAACTCATTGTCAGTTTCTTTCCTAACCATTTCTTAATTATAAAATGGCAGAATAACTTTAGAAATTTTGTAATGTATCAAGAGATGCTAATAATTTTAACAATAAGAAGGAACTATTCTGTGGTAAAGCATCGCCAGAGTCATAATTAAGGACCATGTCCTGGGATAACTCTGAGATTGAATGGCCTTTATATATTTATATATAAACAATGTCAGCTTTTTAAGCAGCAATGAGTTTAAAGAAATTTCTCATCATAAGATAAAATACATTTTACGGGGCTGGGAAGGTGGCTCAGTGGAAGAATGCTTGCCTTGCATGCATGAGGCCCTGGGTTCAATTCCCCAGCACCACATAAGCAAAAAGAAAAAAAGCTGGAAGTGACGCTGTGGCTCAAGTGGTAGAGCTCTAGCCTTGAGCTGAAGGGCTGAAGGACAGTGCCCAGGCCCAGAGTTCAGAATAAGATAGAGGTTTTGCTTTTCTATCAAAGACCACTACTACAATATCAAGAAGAATCAGATATGGATCAAACAATTGATTACTAAAATTAGCTATAATTCCAACATAATGCAGTGTTCTTCTCTTCAGTCTCACCAACATATTAACATGATATACCAGTTAGTTTTTAGACCACAGGCAAATATCTATATGTCCTCACAAATGGAATGATCCTGTTTGTACGAGTAAAACAAGATCAACTATATTTGGGGGTAATCAGATTCCATAAATCAGTAATTGGAATAATCTTCTATTTGATGCAAGTATATATAACCCTGATAAAGTCTTAGTCCATAGCCTAGATACTATGCTAACAAAAAATTTTTTGTCTGTGGGGAAACTTCAGGATCATAAACAGTCTTTTCAATTAATTCATGAGGATGTGCAGGCAATCTGGCTGCGGCATCTGTCACCCCACTGATTGCCAGGGTTGATTTGGCTGATTTGGCTGGCTAGGCAGTGTCCCTTTCCTCCCTCACCATTCTGTGTGCATCCCTCTCAAAGCTGCGGGTGCGACCATCCCAATAGGGGAGGACCGGCCTTCAGTAAAGGGTATATGAGTAGCTGTGCTCCCCTGCTGCAACCTCCAAACAAGCTCTCAAGTAATTCATGAACAAATGTTACTATCACAAAACATAAGAGTATTTTTTTTCCTGAATTTAAAAAAAAAAAATCAAAGCTGGACACAGGTGGCCCATGCCTGTAATCCTAGCTAACTCAGGAAGCTGAGATCTGAGGATTGTGCTTTAGAGCCAGCCAGGGCAGGAAAATCTGTGAGATTCTTATCTTCAATTAACCACCAGAAGACCAGAAGTGGAGTTGAGGCTCAAAGTGGTAGAGTACTAGGCCTTGAGCAAAAAGAGCTCCAGGACAGTGCCCAAGTCCCCAAGTTCAAGCCCTACAACTGACAACAAAAGACATTTTTTTTTTCAGAGTAACAGAGATCTAAAACTTCTGGAAAGTTTTACTTGTATCCTTTCTAGATAAAAATGCTTCCAAGAAATAATGTATGACAAAAGCAACAAACATAAAATATGACTTCTTACCCAACCACTTATAGAAGAAATACAGTAAGACCATCATAACACAGCAGATGACCACAAATACTACAACTGTAAGAGGACTGAAAGTTACATATTCTTCCTTCTTTTTCCTCATTTCTCTTTCCTCGGTGCTTGTTATTGTCTTTAAGTTTTCTCTGTATAAATACACATAGGAACTTCAGTATTCACTATCAAATATATTTTCAAAATCTACATCATTTTGCTTCTGATTACAAAAACACTGTATTTTAAAACTAAACACTATAAAGAAATATTTAATTATTGCCATATACACAAATATTTAATTATTGTTATATAAGCAAATCAATGCTTATGGATATTCATATAATCTAATTTAGAAATTATTTACATTGACATAATACATTTCTAATTAATAACTAATATTTCTTACATACTACTATCAACTTACAGATAGTGAAACACTTCTAAAATTAGCTTCTTTTAAATGTAAAGACTAAATTCTATTGACTAATAGTATTTATTACATGCCTACCTTGTGCTCACCAATGTAATTTGAAGGGTTTTAAATAAAGAAGTACAAGACATAGATAGCTTCATCTCCTATATTTAATTGTATTGTCTCTAATTCTCTTAACAAACCTAGCTGGGTTTGGCCATTCTGATAACTGCAAAAGTGGCTCATGCACCAAGCAATTACTAGGGATCTTGTAAGAAAAAAAAATCAAAATCTTAAATTTAGACAGTTTGCATGCATGTTACAATTTGAGAGGCAATAGGTTTTGGAAAATTATAATTTACTAATCCATGTCGAATGTGATCTTAGAGATCTCAGACCTTATATATACCTTGTGCTTTAGGTATACATGGAATGTGTACAAGCCTAATACCTAACATAAACAAAAAAAATGAGGCCACATTGTTTATGCCCCAATACAGGAGGAACTGAAAAATTCCCTTCCTTCTCTTGATGATTTTTTTAGATGTGAACAAATGGGCATATTAGGCTATTAAGTATTTTTACCTTTCCTGGGAGAAAGAACTAAATATGTAAATTAAGAGTCTTTTAGCCAGGCACTGGTGGCTCACGCCTATAATCCTAGCTACTCAGGAAGCTGAGATCTAAGGATCACAGTTCAAAACCAGCCCAGGCAGAAAAGTCCATGAGACTCGTATCTCCAATTAATCACCAGAAAACTGAAGTGGCGCCATGGCTCAAGAGGTAGAGTGCTTGCTGTTAGCTGAAGGGCTCAGGGATAGCGCCCAGGCCCAGAGTTCAAGCTCCATGACTACCAAAAAAAAAAGTCTTTAACCAGGTACAGTGAAGGGAGAGTTTGAGGGATTGTGGTTCAAGTCCAAGTTAGCAAAAAGAAGTTCATGAAATAGCAACTCAACCAATGTCTGGATGCAGTGGCATGCATCTGTTACCTGGAAGGGGAGCATGGTGGCTGGGTGTTGTGGCATGTGTCTATCATCCCGAGTTACAGAAGAAAGCACAAGTAGAAGGATCACAGCCCAGCCTGGCTTAGGCATAAAGCAAGACCCAACCACAAATAACTAATGCAAGAAGAGGCTAGAGGTGTGACTCCAGAAGTAGAACGCCTGCCTAGCAAGCACAAGGCCCTATAACCCCAGCACCACCACCAAAAGAAAAAGCCTTCGAAGTGGCTTCAGTGTTTTATCAACAGGGTAATTAGAGGAACCTATAACTCTCTTCTCTTTTCCTTTTAGTAGAAAGATAAATGACTTAAATAAGAATAACCCTACAACTGGTCTTACTGGCACTATATTCTGAGGTCAGGTGAAAATCTGAAATGTCATCATACAGTTAAAATGATTATAAAACAATTACTTTCAATCATTTTTCACAAATTGTAAAGGTTGAATAAACTTACAATTCAATAAGTCCACTCCAGTATCCTCCTAATGCCACAGTGAACACAGAAATTACAAAAATAACCACCATTGTATAGTCAAAGTCAGGCCGTGGTGGTAAGTACATTTTTACAGTAATGTTACTTCCAAAAGTCTAAGAGGCAAAATGACAAACACAGAAATGAATTTTTACTCTACTATTCAGTGTAGTAGCAACATTAATTCACATTTTATTCTGAAGTGGAAACTTCATCAGACAGTCAAGGCTAGACATCATGATATATTCTTTTTTTTTTTTTTGTTTTTGTTTTGGTCATGGGGCTTGAACTCTGGGCCTGGGCGCTGTCCCTGAGCTCTTCAGCTCAAGGATAGCACTTGAGCCACAGTACCACTTCTGGTTTTCTGAGTGGTTTATTGGAGAGAGTCTCACAGTCTTTCCAGCCTGGACTGGCTTTGAACCTTGATCCTTAGATCTCAGCCTCCTGAGTACCTAGGATTACAGGCGTGAGCCACCGGTGCCCGACCTCATGATATATTCTTTTTTTTTTGGTCGGTTGTGGGGCTTTGAACTCTGGGCCTGGGCGCTGTCCCTCAGCTCTTCAGCTCAAGGTGAGTGCTCTACCACTTGAGCTACAGTGCCACTTCCGGTTTTCTGGTGGTTTATTGGAGATAGGAGTCTCACAGTCTTTGCTGCCCGGGCTGGCTTTGAACCTTGATCCTCAGATTTCAGCCTCCTGAGTAGCTAGGATTACAGGCGTGAGCCACCAGTGCCCGGCTTCATGATATATTCTTTTGTCAAATATATGATAACTGACTTTGGTCTAGAAAATCTTGAAAGTACCATCATGAGGTTAAGAGATTAAGAGATGATTCGAGAGATTCTAAAAGAACTCAAAACGTATCTCCCCCTCAAAACGTATCTCAAAGCCTGGGCTTTCAGACACTTTAGGACAAAAGATAGGTGGTACTTTTCAAATACAGACTTCCTAGAGCAAGGGCACTGATGGCTCTCACTTGTAATCCTAGCAACTCAGGAAGCTGAGATGTAAGGATTACAGTTTGAAGTCAGCCCCAGCAGGAAAGTCTATGAGACTCTTACCTCCACTAACCTACCAAAGAGCCGGACGTGGAGCTGTGGCTCAAGTGACAGAGCACTGGCCTTGAGCAAAAGAAGTGCAGGGCCAACACCCAGGCCCTGAGTTCAAGCCCCAAGACCAGCACCAAAAAAAAAAAAAAAAAACACTACAAAAACAACCTTACTAGACCTTTGATCTTATTAGCAAATGGAGCATACAGCACAATCAAAATTAAGTGTCAGTGATTAATGAGTTGTATTTATAAATTTCATCTAATATGTAATTATTAATTTACCTGTTTCATGTCTTTAAAATCTTTTTGGCTTATAAATGCAATTGGTATTTTCACATCTTGAAATTCAGATCTATTCCCTGAGGGACGAAACTATAAGGAAAAAAAAACATGAAATTTGTGAGCTACTAATATACTTACTGAATAAAAATAAAATACATTATTCTAGTAAATGTAAATACTATCATGTCATTATAAAACAAAATTGCAGGACTTCTTTCTTAATAATGTGTAAATTCTCAAAATGGAATCCTTTTAACATGAACTTAATCTGACACAACAGAGGACATCATATGTGTTACTCTGTTGTAACATATGCACATACCTGTACTTAATATATACATGCATATGTATTTGTTTCTTATGAAGTCTCCTCTGCTCTAGGAATAAAACAAAAACTATAAAGCTATCTAATTAAATGCCTACTAGATCCAGAATGTTTGTTAAACAAAGAATCCTCCCATCAGATAATTCAAAGTTCCCTCTAATCACACACAAAGGAGTTAATTTGTGATATTTGATGTAAGGATCTGAAAAGAATTTATTATAACTTACGAGAACACTGTTATTGGCAACCAACAATGCATCAGCACCCCCTTTCTGTGCAATTCTGGCTTTTTCCAGAAAATGGCAGGGTCCCCACTGTACCACAACTGCTTTATTGTTCATGCCATGGAGAGGAAGATCAGAAAGGTTGCATAGTGGTGTGCTAGTAAGATCCATCAAACTTCTGGAAGTCTGAAAGTAAGAAATGCCTTTAATGTGACAATCATCCTGTCAGTGAGGAGGCACCAATGTTAATTTATTTCAATGTTCTTTAGTGTCTGGGGCAAAGCTCAGTGCAATGCGGAGGTGTACTCAGCATGTGTGAGGTGTTGGGTTCAATCCTCAACACCACCAACAAACACAATGCTCTTTTTTAAATTAGAAATAAATATTTTGACCACAAGCTTAGGTATTTAAAAATTCTCTAGCTTTTCTCCCATAGAGAAAAGTACTTGAACAAAATCAATGAAGTAATTATTAATCACTAAATATCAAAGTTAGTTTACCCACTAAACATTAATGATGGCTCACTGTCAGTTCTTCAAATATTTTCATAAATAAAATGGTAAACACGACGAGTGCAAGTGGCTCACGCCTGTAATCCTAACTACTCAGGAGGCTGAGATCTGAGGATCGTGGTTCAAAGCCAGCCATGGCAGAAAGGTCCCTATAAGACTCTTATCTCGGGGCTGGGAAGGTGGCTCAGTGGTAGAGTGCTTGCCTTGCATGCCTGAGGCCCTGGGTTTGATTCCTCAGCACTACATAAGCAAAAAGAAAAAAGCCAGAAGTGGTGCTGTGGCTCCAGTGGTAGAGCGCTTCCCTTGAGCTGAAGAGCTGAGAGATGGCGCCCAGGCCCAGAGTTCAAGCCCCATGACTGACCCCCCCCCCAAAAAAAAAAGGTAAGCATGATTTAAATACTTAAATACTTACTGCATTTTCTAGGGTAGTTGGAAGCACTGTCCAAAGAGGATTATATAGCATGCAGTAGTCCTTGGAGGGTAAAGGGGTGCCGCTTCCAGATGCATGCAGAACTGCTTCCTGAGCAGCTGTCTAGGACACAAACAATAACTTTCACACTGGCAAGAACTGAGCCTGTCAGCAACCAAAGACTTAAATAAGGCTATTTATACATAGACTTATCACATTTCCTGAAGAGGGTAAGTCTTTCAATGAGCTTATTTCTTTTTAATTAAGGAAATAAAAACATAGCTCAGGAATATTGAAACTAGACACATTTGCCTAGAATTATAATGCATGTAATTGTTACTTTATTGGGTTTGTTAATATATATATTATAATATGTAATTCTCCTGGAGAGGATTCTTGTTATGGTGTAATGTCAACCCTCCTTACAGCCTGAACCTTCCCTTCCTAATCATCTGTGAATTATTACTTCAATATTCATGCTTATGTTGAGAGAATCACTCAAAATCGATCCACCTGCCTTTCCTTCTACTTGCTACTAAGTACCTAAGGTTAAAAAGGTATTATTTCTAAGTACTGTCTTTAGAGAAGGACTAGCTGAAACTTAAAAGTAAATAATTTTTACTCGAGGATTCAAGATTCTGCAACTACTTATCCAAAAAGACCAAATCCAGACTTTAAAGTATGGGGGGGGGGCAAGAAGAACTAGAATAATTTTCTTTCCTTATGTTTCATTTCCCTCCATCTGGAAAGAAAAAGCAAAAGAAAGGAAGTGATTAGTAAGAAGTGGTTAGTAGAAGCTGTAGTTCAAGTGGTAGAGCACTAGCCTTAAGTTAAAAAGCTAAGGGACAACACCTAGGCTCTGAGTTCAAACCCCAGGACTGGCACCAAAAAAAAAAAAAAGTTGTTTATAAAGGGATGATATTGACCCAGAGGCACTGTATTCATAAACTGATTTTTTTAATGTCATCTTTATTTTGTATTTTTTAAAATTTTTTTTTCTTTTTGCTTATGTGGTGCTAAGGAATCAAACCCAGGGCCTCAGGCATGCAAGGCAAGAGCTCTACCGATGAGCCACCTTCCCAGCCCCATAAACTGATCTTTTGAATGGTAACTTCTTTGTACCACTACTTAAAAATAGCAAAAACATAATACTAAAAGTCGAAGTGGTTAGCGAACAGCCCAATAACCTCTTGCTAGGGTTTTAGCCTCCATCATGGAGGCTGTGATGGCCAACCACTGTGGCTCATGCCTGTAATCCTAGCTTCTAGGAGGATGTGATCTGATGATCATGGTTTGAAGGTAAGCAAAGTCTATGAGATTCTTATCTCCAGTTAACCAGCAAAATGCCAGAATACAGAAGTGTGGCTCAAGTAGTAGAGTGCCAGTTTTGAGTAAAACAGCCAAGTCAGAATGTATGGATCTGGGTTTAAGTCCCAGCGTAAACAGAACCAATACTCTACAATAGATATGTTACTGGTTCTCAGAGTCACCACAACTTTTTTTTCTTTTCTTTTCTTTCTTTTGGCAAATTCTTTATTGTGATTAAGTGATGACATAATTTCACAGTATTGTGGGATAGTGATGCTTAGTTAAAGTCACAAACACATTCTAACTTTCATAGGGCAAATTGTCTATCATGGTCTATAAAGTTTATGACTTCTATGAGCTTTGACAATACAGTTATTTCTTCCACATCCGGTAATATGTACATTCCTTTCCTTTAGTATAGCAACAGCTGTTCCCTCTTTCCCACTTGTTGCCTCCCTCCTATCGCTGCCATTGAGTTGCTTAGCTCATTTTGATCAATGTTCAGAGCAGCTGATAGGTCCCATTGTTCACCACCACTTTCTACAGAGTGCCAATTAAACCTTTCAAGTCAAAAGTCAATACTCTACAGCACAATATATAAAGTGTAATGTGACCATGGGTAAACACAAGTGAGCGGCAGCAATTTGCAAATTGCCTTTCCATCAGAGCAATACAGGAGGTAACTTTAAGAAAAAAAAAAAAACATCTTTCTCTTACACAATCCTCAGTTTTAAGTCGAAAGTAACATAGGAATTGAAAAGGTCCTGTGCAGGAAAATGAAGGGTAGGAATTGTGTCTAAAAGACACATTTCAAACCCAGGCCTAAATATCTTCCTGATCACTTACACTTTCCTCTCTAATAATTTACAGACAATCTACATTGGTTTCAGTCCTTCTTTTAGTACTCAAGGTTTAGAGAAATAATGCACAAAAAGTGACCAGACTTAAGATCTACAGAGGTTAAGCATAATTTACTATTTACATAGCTGCTGAATGGGAGCTTAGTGCCAATTAGAAACTTATACGGCATCAGTATAGTCTGTGGGCCATGGGAAATCAGGGTCACCACTCCGCAGTCTATGAGATGCTTGGGATACAGCAGAGAAGGAGGCAAGCAGGCTCCTTCTCTACTCTTCATGGGGCTTATATTCTAATTATTGCCTCAATCAAACCTCCTTCCTGGTTTTCACTAAGTAACCTACTATTTAGAGACAGAAGTCAAGTTTGACACAACTTACCATTCACACTAGAATGAACTAGCTTAAATAGCTCCATGGCCAGGCAAGTATTATAAACGCACAAATCAGAGTTGATATACAACCACAAGGCATTGCAGCATGATAAAAGCTTGGCAAACTGTGGGTGAACAGCAATCAAATAGTTTAACATCTCAGGAGAGGAAACTATGCCTAAAGACTTTATGGCCAAGTTCTTCATAAACAACTAAGGTTTATAAACAACAACAACAAAAATCAAACATAGACATGACTCTTCCTATCTTTAAAACTTTTTCATAAATAAAATAGACAAATTTATCATATTTGTGTTCATGAAGTTATAAAATTATGTTCTAATTTTGATTCAGAAAAAATGCCTAGTTTGAAGGTAAAAAAAAATCCAAGATTTGGGTTTTAGTTTTATAGTTTGTGTCCTATATAATCTGTGACAAGTTACAATCTTTCTTAACCTTTTTTGGATTATTTTGAGTTTCAAAGATTTTTTTTTTTTGGTCCGGTCATGGGGCCTGAACTCTGGGCCTGGGCGCTGTCCCTCAGCTCTTCAGCTCAAGGCTAGCGCTCTACCACTTGAGCCACAGTGCCACTTCTGGCTTTTTTCTTTTTGCTTATGTGGTGCTGAGGAATCGAATCCAGGGCCTCAGGCATGCAAGGCAAGTGCTCTACCACTGAGCTACCTTCCCAGCCCTAGTTTCAAAGATTTTTGTGGAGGTGTTGCACTTTGGAAGAAGACATATAGTGACTTAGAGAACACACAATATAATTCAGAAATTTAGACAGCTCAGAGAGTAAAAGAATCTGACAGTTACACATGGAAAGTGATAGATACACATGGTGACACATGCCTGTAATCTCCAGCATAAGCCTTTGGGAGGCTGAGGTAAGAAGGATCTCAAATTTGAAGCTAGCCCAGGCCATACAATAAATTCAAGGTGAGTTGCAGTATATAGTATATAGTAAGGCTCGTATTTCAAAACAAAAAAACAAAAAACCACCAAACCCCACACAAACTAAAGACAGACAAATATGACACAACCCGCATGTCCTCACTCAGGCTGCCATAACAAAACACCTTAGACTAGTTAACTTAAGCAAGTGAAACTTATTTTCTCCCAGTTGTGGAGGCTACAATTCTAAGATCAAAGTGCCAGCCGGATCAGTTCCTAGTGAAAGTGGTCCTCATGGCTTGCAGACAGCTATTTTCTCGTAGTGCCCTCACATTGAGGAGAGAAAGAGACTACACCGGATGTTTCTTCTTATGAGGGTAACAATCCTACCATGAAGCTCTGACCTTCCAGTAAACCTGGTTATCTCCTGAAGGTTCCATCTCTAGAAATATAACATTGAGGTTGAGGGTTTCAACACAGGAACTTTGGTAGATACAATTTAGTCTACAGGACACCCTTTCCCCTTAGTCCTATTCTTCTTGCACATGAAGTACACTGATTCCATCTCTATAGTTTCCAAAGTCTGCACTCTTCCCAGCATCAATTCTAATGCCAAAAGTCTGAAGTCCTACAATTCATCCTGAGGTACTATTTCTCTCCAGCTGTGGCTGTGAAACTAGGAACTTCTGTGCCTCTAAAACAAAAAGATGAGGCAAGCACAGTATAGACACTCTTTTTTTTTCCAAAAAGGAAAAAAATCAAAAGGAAGAAGGCAGTGATGGATACCAGGCAAGACCAAACCTTAGCAAGGCAAATTCTATTAGACGTTAAACTCGAGAATAATACCTCCCACTTACAATGCAATCTACTTGGGAGGCAGATATTGGGAAGATCCTGTCTGTAGGCCAGCCTGGGTAAAACGTTCACAAGATCCCATCTCAATCAATAGTTAGGGCATAGAGGCATGCACTTATCCCAGCTATGCAAGGGGCTGAGACCCGGAGGATTATAGTTTCACACCTGTTCTGATAAAAAAATATGTGAGGCCTCATCTCAACAGAAAACTTGGTGTGGTGGTTCATAGCTATGTAGGATGTATAAGTAGGAGGAATGCAATCCTCCTATTTTCATGTTGTGAACGGAACATCTAAAGGATGGACTGGGAAAGGAAAATCACGGAATGGAATTATGATAAGGCTGAGATGTCATTAACTAACTGTCAAGCACTCTGTATTTATAGACCTAACTGTTTAATGGATTTAAAAATCATTACAACAGCTAGACGTGCTGTAGCTGTACTGAGTTCACTCTGGCGTGAAGATGACAAGATGAGGTTAGGCTAAATGACCTTTAAGCCTTTGCAACGTTAAATCAGCTGCTGTTACTACAAAGATGTGGCAGTGGTTTCTGAAAATTATGTGATACTTCTAGATGGAAATGCTGGCCCTATTATTACATGACTAAGGAGAAGTAGTGCCAGCCTCAAGAGCCTAGAAAAAGAAAAGTGAAATGACTGAGTTGGTGTCATTAATTCAAATGAACCTACAGGTTACTTGGAACTCTAAGATTGGGGAAGGGAACTAAGAAGGGATTTGGGGAGACAATGGAAGAAAACTTCAAACCGTGTTGGAGGAAAAAACCAGGTATATAGGAAGCAGGAAGGAGGAGAGAATAGTCCAAATGAGAAAAAGCA